AATCATAGGCGTGCGCACGGGGTGTTCCGGGTGTGCCTGGGCACCCCCTGACATTTAATTGGGGCCCTAAAATATTTAATATTTATTTGATGTTTAGCATTGTACAAGTTGTTCATATGAACAGGTAGTTATATTTGAAATTAAATATTGTGAAAAGTAAATTCAGAAGTATCATGACCCAATACTGTTTGGAATCATTAATTTTACTTTTTACGGAACAAGAAATGGCCTCTAATGTTGAAGTAGATTTAGTTATTACTTATTAATGAGTTTAATAATTTAAGTAATAGACGCATATTATTATAAATCTATAACTGTTGTATTAGAATGTTAAATAAACAAGTAACTAAGTAAGTAATATTTATTTGTACAATATAATTTACTAAAATATGTATTATGTACAATGTACATGTCTTGTTAAGAGAGGGCCCAAGTTAAGGAAAGGGCCCAAAAATATTGTAGGAAACTAGGAACCCCCCGAAATCCAGGTCTGCGCACGCCTATGAATATAATATGTATACATCGTTTCAAGAATCGTACTATGAAAAAAGTATTCGTAATCCGATATTGAGTCCTTCTACTTTTCTGACAAACGCTCCAATTATAGTTATCGATACTTCGAAACAGATAGATTCAGCCACAGCCTCAGCAGTGGATGTTCAATTGGAAATTGAAGCTTCAGATTCGCTTACAGATGTAACTGCTTATTGTTTATTAATTCATGATCGTATTGTAGAATATGTACCTTTTACTAGAGAAGTAAGAAAACTTGTATAACTAATTGTTTAGAATTAATATATAATTGTATTTGTAAATAAAATAATATTTAATAAATAATATATATTTTATCAAATTGTTGTGTTACATGGTGAAGCATGTAGAAATCTCCCTGTAAAAAAGGTTGCTCAGAACGCACATTAGGGTTTTTGAGATTATGTGTTACACGGTGGAGCATGTAAAAATGTCCCGCTTGAAATGATGAAATCTCCCTGTAAAAAAGGTGCTCAGAACATACATTAGGGTTTTTGAGATTATGTGTTACACGGTGGAGCATGTAGAAATGCCTGCTTGAAATGATGAAATCTCCCTGTAAAAAAGGTGCTCAGAACATACAAATATATACTACTGATGTTTTAAGACCCATTGCCATTTTTTTTAAATGCCAATGACCTTGGTTAGTTGAAAAGGCTGTAAGCTCTTTGCTTTTTTCGTCTAATTTTATCTGGTAAAAACCTGAAGCAAGATCAATAATACTGAACAGATTACATTGTCCTAGCTGATCTAATATTTCGGTAATGTTGGGTAGTGGGTGGTACTCGTTTATCGTTACTTTATTCAAAGCTCGAAAATCAACAACTATTCTAAATTTTGGTATTTGACTCACGTCTAGTTTCTTTTTTACTAAAAGTAAGGGAGCATTCCACTGTGAAAAGGAGGGTTCAATAATGTCGTCCTTTTCCATTTGTTTGATTTGAGAATCTATTCGGCCATTTGCGCGTGTGGCAAGCGATACGGTCGCTTATATATGGGCTCCTGATTCTCCGGTATATTAATTTTATGTGTTAACGTATTTGTATATGTTAACTTATCTCCCGTTAAATGAAATATGTCTTGGTATTGTTCACATATTTCCAAAATAGATTGCCTTTGCTCATTATCCATATGATCGCTCCTAATCAATTGTCTTATTTCTTTTATGCGTTTATTTTTATTATCGTCTTTTACTATTGACTGTGTATTATATTCGAATTCATGATCATATCGTATTTTATTTAAATTGCTTAACATAATGCTTTGGGGTTTTTCGGTTATATTTAAAATACTAATTATTACTTCACCGTTCTGTACGGTATTTATTACGCTTCCACAAAATACGCCTTCCATTATTTCTTGTTTGTGAATTAAAATATCTTTACTTTCTACATCCTTTGCAGCTATAGGTATTGATACGATTGTTTCTGATCTTGGGGTTAATAGTAACTCTTTTTGTTTATTTTTATTAGCATTAATTACTAGAGTTTTATTGGCTAGGTTGATTACAGCGTTATTTTCTGATAAAAAACTATTTCCTAATATACCATTTTTCCTTGTTGGAAAGTTTTCGTCAACTAAATTAAATTCGGTGCTAATTTCTTGCCCTTGGATTATCAAAGGTATTGTAAGCTTGCCTATTGTTTGTATTATTTTATCGTTAATTCCTTTTAAATTTACTATTTGTGTTTTATCTACTACTATATCGTAATTTAATATATTGTTTTTTACTATATTTACTTCGCTACCTGTGTCGACTAAAAATTCTAATTCTTCATTTATACAGGCGGGTGATTTACATTTTATGTGATTATTGTTGTTTATTTTCGTTAATATAATGGGGTAACAATCTCGGATGGGTCCACGGATATATGATTGATCGCACGCGCTCCGGGGGTTACGTGAGATGTCCGCTCGTTTCCCGAGTTTTTATTACGTCGCTCGTCGTTTTGTTTTTTATAGCAGACGGCTATATTATGTCCTGGTTTATTGCAGTAAGTGCAGGTATCGCTCCTTGCATTATAATTAGTGGGTGGACGTGTGAAATTATTCTGATTGGGTGGTCTACTATTATACGCTACACTGTTCATTCGACATTGCGATGCAAAATGTCCTTCGCGGTTGCACGTATGACAACACCTAACATTATAATTGTTGGTTCTTGAGTTTGGGTTTCTATTAGTATTCCTATCGTAGGAATTGTTTCTGTTAGTATTATTATTATTAATATTATTACGATAGTTGTACGCTGTGTTTTGATTATTATTATTATATTGCCTATTTTGATGAGCATTTCTATTGTTGTACGTATTATTTGCGCGGAAAATTTCTTGTACATCATTGTGAGTACGAATATTTTTTTCGGTAATTAACGCGATTTGCATTGCTTGTTCAAGAGAGGTAGGATTTTTTGTTTTTACTTCAAATTCTATTTGGTCGCTTAACCCGTTTATATAACTGACTAAAGCTTGTTCCCTAATATTGTCGCGTAATATTTGTGCTACTGCTGGTGTTTTGTCTATGGCCACTGTCATAGGCGTAAACTGGGGGGGGCAAGGGGGGGCCACTGCCCCCCCCCCTAGAAAAAATTAGGAGGGGCATTGCCCCCTTCAATATTTTACATACCTTCTTCTTTCATAAATACAAAAACAACTGATTATTACTATTACTATACAGTATTTTTTTAAATCTCAATTTTCAATTTTAGTTTATCTACATTAAGTATGTTAATGAATAATTTTACATAGTAATGCGTTGCGACTCATAACCGTAGACACTCGGTCAGTATAGTTGTTCCACAGATTATATAGGTGTATCGTGTATAATCTTATATTATAAAATATATTATAATATATTAATATGTAGTGGTTCGGTGAGTATAGCTCATAGAAAAGAGATTAAACAACACAAGCAGTGTTACCTCCAAAGGGAATTATGTGGTGGAGGTCGACTATATGTTGTTGAGCACAGTGTTATCAAACAACTTCTTTATGAGATAGTGCGTTATATCAATATATTTTGAATTGTCATCACTTGTCTGTTATAATATACTTATTAATGCTTCGTATGATGAGTTAAATCGTTAAATATTAGTAAGAAAAGAAGTCGTTTTAGAGCTTATAATTTATCGTAATTTAATACAAATTTACAATTGTCAAACAGTGAAGATGAACAAAAATATTAAGAATAAGGAGAAAACTTTGGATCATTTCTTCTCAGTATTACCGTCAAAACCAAATTCTAATTCAGGTAAATTCATTTTTCAAAAACGATGAAAAGTTAAATATACTTTCAACAATTTTAATAGTTGAATGAATTAGGTATTGATTCTATAGGTTTTAAAGATTTTATAACAATGAAGTATTTATATTTATTCTTATACTCACAACATATAAAATAATTGTACTTATTCATTTAGATAAAATTGACTTAGACAGTCTACCAGATGATCCTCCAAATCACCAAATCACAGAAGTTACTGGTATGAATTGTTAATTACTTAGAACAATTAATCAATTATTTTTTAATATTTTTTGTAATGTTATATAGAAAATACTTCTTCAAATCAAAAACAAAAATTAATAGAAACTACTGTTTTAAATACTCATAAGCTATTAGGTATGTTTTTATGTGAATAACAATTATTTTTTCTTTTTGTGTTTTGTGTTGGCTGTTTGTGTTCAATGTTCATTATGGGATCATGTAATTCATAGTCTTTTAAATATTTTAAATTATGTATATTATGTATAGAAATAAGTGATTTATTTTTGCCTTCATTGATAGAAATACACCTAACATATTTCACATTTTGACAGTTGCCATTATTTGTGTTATTATTTTAAGGTAATAAGTACCTATTTACCTTATATTATTTAATGTTCTACACTTTAAGCTTTAAAAGTAAGTATTCAGTCTTTATTCATAATTATGTGTATGTATTTGTTATGTTCATAAATACAGTAATTAAAAATAGTTTGCTTTCGCTTAGTTGTTTTGTAAATATGTATGTTTAATATACATAATTTATATTTATGTTTTATATAAATAATAATATAGTAATTATTACTTATTTATATTGTGGTTTTAAATTTTAATCATTTAATAGATGGAGATAATAGAGACCCTGTAAAAGGTTATGAAAATGCTAAGATTTCTCTCACACTTAATGAAGGTCCATTTCAACCAAAAAATGTATTGTATCCATTACGTAATGGAAGAAAATTTCGGGAAATATGGTTTACACAATACAAATGGCTTGAATATAGTATAGCTCTAGATTCTGCTTTTTGCTTCTTTTGTAGAGCGTTTTATAAATCTAATAAAATGGATGATGCATTTACATGCAAAGGTTACAGTAATTGGAAAAAAGCAATTGAAAAATTTAATAATCACCAAAAGAGTAATATCCATTTAGAATCTTCGGTAAAAGTTGATGAATTTACAAAAAGTTTGCGTAAAAATAGTGGTACAATTGTAGACAAATTAGATTCTCAGTATAACAAGGTAGTAGCAGAAAATCGACAATATTTAACAACTGTCTTACAAACTATTCTTTACTGCGCCAGACAGGGTATTGCGCTACGTGGGCATAATGAACACAATGAAAGTGACAATCAAGGAAACTTCCTTGAACTTATGAAAATTCGAGCTGGTGATAACTGTATTATCAATCGATATTATGAACAAAAAGAAAAAAACATTTCGTTATGTTAGCCCCGAGTATCAAAACAACTTTATACATTTGATGGGTATAAATGTTTTATCTCAGATTATTGATAATGTTAAAAATGCAGGTGTATACAGTGTTATAATGGACGAAACTCAAGATTTAAAAAAACACGAGCAAGTATCTATCGTTTTAAGGTATTGTGACAAACAATTAAATGTGTTAGAAAATTTTATTGGTTTTTACAAAACAGAAAAAATGGATGGTGAAACCCTTTCATATTTATTAAAAAATACTTTGCAAGGTTTGGGCTTAAAAATCGAAAACATAAGAGGACAATGCTATGATGGAGCTGCCTCAATGCGTGGTTCTTATTCTGAAGTAGCTAAACGAATACAAGATGAAAATAAATTAGCTTTGTATGTCCATTGTCATGCACATATACTTAACTTGTGCGTAGTTGATGTTTGTGGAAAAGTAGCTCCAATTCGAAACATGTTTGGTACATTGAATAAAATATATACATTTATAGGCGCCTCTTCAAAAAGAAACTCAGTATTTGAGAAAGTTCAAAAAGAGTTAAATGTGTCAAATAGTACTCTTAAATCACTCAGTGATACGAGATGGAGTTATCGAATTGAATCTATTCGTTCTGTTTTAACAAATTTTAATTCCATTATTTCTACCTTAGAACATATAAACGAAACAGACTCCATTCATGGATCTGATGCAAGTTCATTACTAAAAAATATTCAAGATTTTGAATTTATTTTCTGTTTGAAATTAATGAAACAAGTTCTTCAACTAACTAATAGTTTGTCAATACATTTTCAAAAAAAAAATGCTAATTACTCAAGTGTTGGAATTTTAACAAATGCTACTTTATTGGAACTAGAATCACTTCGAAATGATGATAGTTATAAACTTTTTTGGACTAAAACTGAACAGTTTGCTACTAAAGAGGATATTAGATTGCCAGATATTACTAGAAAAAGAAAAATTCCCTCTAGATTTGGAGGTGGTGAAGCTACAACAATAAACAATATATCATCTTATTTCAAAGTCAGTATTTATTTTCCCGTTTTAGATATTATAATCAATGACATAAAAACCAAATTTGAGGAAAACAATATCACAATACTTAATGCTCTTCAATGTTCTTTGAGCAACAAAAACTGCTCTGATGAAAATATCTTGGAAGTTTGTAACACATATGATATTATAATAGATGATTTTAAGGCAGAGTTAAAGTTATTTAGTAAAATGTGTTTATCAAGTGACATTCCTGAAAATTTTGAAAATCGTCTGAATTTTTTCTTGTCCAAGGACTTAATAGGCTCGTTTGAAAACATGTATAAGATTTTTAAAATATATTTATCGATTCCCATGAGTTTTGCTTCTAGTGAGCGTTCTTTTTCATCTTTACGTCGTCTCAAGACATTTACTAGAAATACTATAGTTCAAGAAGGACTATCTAACATAGCTATTTTAAATATAGAAAATATGTATCCAATGAATTTTGACAAAATTATTGATCAGTTTAGTGCAGAATCAACCCAAAGAGGTAGAAGACTACAATTAATATAAATTTGTCATTTTATTAAGTATAAAGTTAATTGTATACACCTATTTGCTTTTATATAGTCAGTTTTTTGTTAAGAAGTTATATAATATTAAAGTTTTCAATATTTTTAATGAATTTAAGTTTATTTATTTATTATTGATTTATTTCTTACTAGCTAATAGCAATCTTCTACTAATATACAATAAAAGATAATGTTAACGTATAACTGTATAAGTAATTAAAGATAAGTAATATAACAATAATCAATAATATATTGATTATATGTAACCACTAAATAGATGAAATAATATATTTGCCCCCCCCCCTAATAAATTTCCAAGTTACGCCCATGGCCACTGTGTTACATAGTTTTTGGTATATTTCTTCTACTCTATTGTTGTACGCGCATATGGTTTCATTATTTTTTAATTTTATTATATTTAATTCGATTTGTAAATTAGCTGCACCGTAAGGAGTTTCGAATGCGTCTAATAATATTTTCTTTATATCTTCCCATACCTTAATTTCCTTATATCTGGTTACATTAAAAGCTCTGTCTGACAATTTAGTAGCTGCTATCATTTTTAACATAAAAGGGTGCTGTTCTGAATCTACCGTATTTATGAATACTTCGCATGCATTTAAAAATGGATATATTTCGGTTTGTCCTGAATAGTTAGGAATTAATTTTATTGCGTCTAACGCACTTATGGATTTCCCATCAGTACTACCTGGCATTTTCTTTACTTTAACTGTTCTTTTTGGTTGAATATATTCGGTGTGTATTTCTACTACTTCGTAACCCTTGACGAATTGCGCTAGTAGTAGGACTATTTTCAAACTCTTCTAGGTTTATTAATCGTAAACTTTTGTTTTATTTTTCACTGGTTATTGGTTTAGTTTCTATACGTTCATTAAGTATTTCTTCATTAAATAAATCTAATTCTTCGTCTAAATTATTTATCTCTATGTTGTCAACTATTTCGCTATCAGTATTGTTTACGTCAATTTCTAAATTACTTTCGTTTTCGATTATTTCAATTATTCTATCTTACGTTTCTCTAGCTATCGTTTCAAATTCGTCATTAATATTTCCTTCTGAACTATTGTTCATTAATATTTTATTATTCTCATTTATTTTTTACTCTAATCCTTTAATTATAATCTCAGTAATATTTAATGTTTAATTTTATTATTATAATCTCATTTAATATAATCTTAATTGACTTATTATTTTTATTCGATTTGGTCTTTAAATTCGGCTGGGGCATCTACTCGGGCTGGCGGGCTTTAAACATGGGCTATGGACTTTAAAACATGGGCTACAAAATCTACACGTGTTCTATACAATGGAGTAGCTAATTCCAAGGGAGTTGTACTTAAATAATAAGATGAACTCAAAAATATGGCCTCAATAATTAACAATAAATATAATCTCAATAATGCCCTGTAATAATTCACAATAATTCTCAAAATAATATAAAATACCCTTAATAATTCATAATAATAACTTCTCAATAAATGCCCTTTAATAATTCACAAAATAATCTTCAATAATAATCAATAACTGCCCTTCAATAATAATCAATAAATGCCCTTCAATAATTCATAAAAATAACTTCAATAAATGCCCTTTAATAACTTCAATAATATCTTCAAAAATTGCCCCTTAAATAACTTGTTATAATATGCCCTTCAATAATATTTTAATAATTTTTCCTAAATACGATGGACCAATAGACCAAAGGAGACGGTTATATAAATTATGCTTACAACATTGCTGTATTCATCTCGTTGCTTGATCTCTCTCGCCGTAGTTGGATTGTAACAAACGTTCGGTCTTCCCAGAGTCGTTGAATTGAAGCGTGCACTCCTCAGCTCAACGGTGATCCACGATGGTGAAATTGCCTCTGTTGATTGAAGTTGATCCAAAATATTTCGACAAATATTGTTGAATGTTCCTTGTATCTTGGAAGACCCTGTCCACAGCGCCAAAATTCTGTTACGTCCCAACTGACGTCGATATATACATCAACGTGGAAATGAATACTTGATGCAATAGGTTATTATGAGTATTTATTTAAGTACAAAATTACAATGTATAAAGCTTAAGTAGAGAGGTGAGCGGTGTTACGACCTGACTCTGAATTGTTACTAAGATTTTGAGTGGTGTTACGACCTGCCTCCAAATTTGATACTAAGACTGTGAGTGGTTTTACGGCCTGCCTCCAAGTGCCTTGAGTATCCCTAACCTTCTGACGAGCTCTTGTCCTGGGCTGGTATTTATATGATCGAGTCCTTTGGAGTGGGTGGTCATAGTAGTGGCAAAATTCGGTCATGAGACAGAGTCCTGGTCTCGTACTTGATATGCTGGTCGACTCGTATCCTCCGTATGGGTGTTTAGCTTTCCCGAGGAGATACGTGTGACGACGCTTGTATAGCTTAATTGTTTTATACTATGTTTTTGCAATGATCTAAGCATGTTATAATATACTAATTGCCTTATTAGCTATATCGTCAATACTACTAGAAACGTGCCTTACATTGTACATAGTTAATATATTGATAGGTACGT